AAAATACATAAAAAATTAAGAGTTTGATGATTTTCTCATGGATCCCATTATTAGATATTGACCAAATTATATAGGACCACCCCTGAGGTACCCCCTTTCTAACAAAAAAAGAATCATCAAAATTGGACAACGTACTTAGTAAAGTAATTATCGCTGAACATACATAAAAAAAATATTCCGACGAATTGAGAACCTCCTCCTTTTTTTGAAGTCAGTTAAAAATATAATCCTGTGTATGTATAGGATAGAATCAAACTAAATAAAAATATGAACATCAACACAGTAAGTTAACCAACTGGCGAATTGGCGCTGTTCATTAACTCAGTTAGTTATCAAGCTAAATAAAATGTATCTTGATAGCAAATGAACGTGGTCTACATTTGAGTAGGGCTCAATTGAGATCTCAGTAAAAAGTACCTATTGTAATATACAGAGTAATATACTTTGCAAATTATTAAGTAACATTTTAAAGTATGAAAAATAAAAAGATTTAAATATAAATTTTGTATGGTTTTATTTACTAATTTGCACCAAACTTTGGATCGAATCCTGGTTTATTTTAAATTTTAATCAACATTATCACGTGGGTCTATAAATTATCAATTATTTAACTACAGTCTTCTACTTGTCTTTCTACTATTACTAGAAGAAAAACGCCAAATACAGTAAGTATAGAATTTAAAGTAAAACAAAATTTAGAGGTAAATCATAAAATTTCAGATTTAAATAAAAATAAAAAGGGGTATGGAGGTGGACGATTACAGTATTTACTTGATCTCCCTAAATTTTGAGTATGTTACAGATACAGAACTTTTAATATGGAAAATATAGCTTAAAATGAGTTCAACAAGATATAATAGGGACATGAACATATCGAGCAAAGACTGCTGTCACTCGTCACATAAATCAGTGTATGATGTATGTAGTAAGGTGAGCAGAAGTCAAAGTCATATAGATGCTCTCTCATATTAAACTTTGTTCAACTCATTGTAAGGTAACATTTAAATGTTAAAAATTCAGTACCTGTATACAGTGTCTACTTAAGTTGGCTGATAATTAGATTATTGTTGTTTTAGTGACTTCAAAACCATAAACATTCATTAGCATCTTTATAACAATGGGTGGAACTTGGAATAAAATCATAGACACTATGAAAAATACTTTCAACAGTCTTTTGCTTACCAGCTTACTACGACATGCCGTCGTCGAATTAGATTATTAAAAAATGTTTGGTAAATAATACTTATTTTATTTAAGTACTCATACCAATATAAGTAAAGTTATTTCACTATTTGTGGAGATATCAGATATCTATCGAATGTATATTACCTATAATGTCTTACTATTTCCAGAAAGCCTATGATGATGGCTGTGTAAAGCTCAAAGCATTCTCCTAATTATGTCAATATATTTTTACACACTGATATACCTACTCCCTATATTTTCCTTACCAAATAATAATTGGTCTCATTACAATTATTGTAAAACATGAAAAACCGAGGGGCAAATCACTCTTTGTAAAAATGTACATGTATTGCCGAATTCATATGATTTCCGCAATCATATGGCGATTTCTGGATGACTGCGGCGATTTCTAGATGACTGCGGCGATTTCTGGATGACTGCGGTGATTTCCACATGACTTCCGACAGATTTCCCGTGACTGCGGTGATTTATGTATTGACTGCAACGATTTCTCTATTGATTGCGGCAATTTCCCTATTGATTGCGGCGATTTACTCGTACGTATGGATTGTCAGTATTATTGCAAAATTGCACGCATTCCGAAGGATTTCTACGATATTGTATGGCTTACCAGTTGGTTTCCAGTAAAAAAAGCATTAGCTAGGTGTTTCATCAGAAAAACTAAATTTTGTATAGCGCATGTATAGGTGCTAAATACAATGCATTGATTTAAAACTAAGTGTGTACGACAAATTTATCAATAAATCAACTTTTTGTACGTTTTTTATTCATTTAAAAGATCAGTTTTAATTGATGTGATACCCGAAATATAAACTTCTATGTAGGTACTTACATGCCTCCATTATTAGATATCTTTGATATGCCTAAATGAACAAATAGGTACAGGTAAATAAAACAAGTTAAGTAATTAAGTAATTGGAGGTTTTTTATTTAAAAATTTCATAAAAGTGTTTTTTTAGACGTTTACAAATTTTATTGATGTTTGTTTCTAGTTTAAATGGACCAGATCCAATTGAATTGATGGGTCCGTAAAATATTAATTTATTTTTAACAATTTGAATGTCGTCTTTTTTTGGCCATAAATTCAGATTTAAAAATTTTTATTTTACTAGTGGTTTCATCAATTATTTGAACAATCCGACCTATGTACCACGACTCGTAAAGAATTGCGTAATATTGTTCGTTCCTAATTAAAATGCCATTGATATTTTTCTGGAGCAAAGTGTTTTCACCGGTAGTTTTTTCACTTTCTGTTACATCTTTGTCATTGTAGTTACTTGGTATTTTAGCTGTGTTTTTTCTGGACTTGTTTTTTTTTGTTATTTAGTACTGCTGAGGATGTTCCTTTTACACGAGATAATCTGTCAGTTGAGAAGCGCCCGTCTTCAGTGGAAAATAACCAACAGAGAGCTGATTTTTTTACCTTCATTTTTTTGTTGTTCACAATTATGTTTAAAAATGAGGTATCAGAATCACTTTTTGTCTAGTAATTTCGAAAATCCTTTATATTAAGATCTTCCAATCCATAAAAAATGCTCTTTTCATTATCTACATCATATATGGAAACTTAAGTTTAAAATTTAATGTTTTTTACTTTATCCGTTTTTGATTTTTCTTTAAAATTCGAAATTTACACATTTTCTTAAATATCTCGAATACGGTCCATTTTAGAGAAATTATGTATAGGGCAAAAATTATAGAGAATTATATTACAAACAACTTTTATTTGAACAATTTTTATAAAAAAATATTTTTTTTTTACATTTTGTCAAATTTCTCGAATACGGACCAAATTTTGTATAGAACAAATTATAGATAATAATATTGTAAGTAACTTTTATTTGAAAAAATTTCTTCTCCAAACGTAAATAAAAGATATATTCCATAAAATATTAAAATGATGACTATAAAGTACCCTCCAAATGTTCCGACTCTGCCCAAAATCTAATCAGCTAATTGGACGCCGGAATAAAGCTTAAGTTTAAAATTTGGTGTTTCTATTTGTATCCGTTCATGAGTTATCGAGGATACAGAGACACACACAGACATCATCGCGAAAATAGTCAAAACAGATTCAGGATACCCCAAAACATAAAAAACCGTCGAAAATTCGAGGTCGAAAAAATCATGATTCCTATACTTTCCTTATCCGTAAACAGATAGGAAAGTAAAAATACATTTAAAACCCTAATTAAAACGTGTATCACCCCAACCCCCATAAAATACCAACAATTTTGTTATACATTAAAAAAAACTAGATGAAAAGGGACAATTTTCGACCACCTTGTAAAATCTTGTATACAAGTAGATTTAGTGTCTAAATTTATCCTAAAAAAACCTTCAAATTCCAAAATGTAAATTTAACTTAATAGTTCTTGCCTCAAAATGCACGAAAGGACCCTTTCGATAAATGTAAACTGCAATTTCTTTACACAAAATGGTTTAGATGGCTTAATCAAAGCACCCTACATCAACAATGGCTAATTGGTTAATGTCACCTTACTGCGCGCGATTTTTAACGATTGCTAGTGATTGCTCAGTGACTGTTAGATAATTCGGGGGACTGCAAGGGAATTCGGAACGACTGCGAGCAAATTCGGAACGACTGCGGCGATTTCTTAGCGATTGTCACTGATTTTGATGAGACTGCGGCGATTTTCAATGGGATTGCGGACATTTTGTACACGTATTGCGGGAGTGATTTGCCCCTCGTGAAAAACATTTGTAATCCTAATTCGAAGTCATTAATCCCTGTGAAACATACCATTTAGCACTGCTAAACTAAATGTTCCATGTTAGCAATTTTGTTATATTATTTATTACAGGTATTATTAACCCCGGAAATGAAAAATAATTCAGTAATTAGATTAAAATCATTAAGATCTAAACTTATATAAGAATCATTTTTCAGAAAAAGAAATAATTTTAATTGGGGTTAAACATACTAAATATCCAATTAAAAGTTGGAAACAATTGCCATTAATTTGCCAAAGAATTTAGGGACTTTATTTAGTAACTCTTGAAAAATCTTTATTGGTTATTGTTAGAAATTAATCAGGTATTCGCAGGTATCTCTTGTTATTCTCAGGTTTTGATAATAATTTAATGAATAGGAAAGTTGGGCACTATTGATTCTAGATTCTAGGGGAGCCTCAGATTAGCCAAACTTGTACATTATTTTTCTGGAAAGTAGTTCAGCTGTAGTAAAAATAAAATACTAAACTGTGTTCGGCAAAAATCTACACCGCCATCGGTTTCAGTGCCAAGTTTTATCTATTCTAAGTCCGACTAGTACTCAACTATATTTCAGTTCGCTCTGAGCATTCATAAAAATAGACCAGTTGACAAAAACCGTATTGAAATATCATTCACCTTTTCAATAAATTAGGTTGTTTACTTCATCAATTTGTAATTATTATCAGAGAAACTTTTATTCCAAATATTTACAATAGCAATTACTGGTTCTAATGGAAAAGCCGTGAATAAAATATATTGGTACACGTCTGACATACATTTTGAGAAAGTAGGATAATGTAGGTATGTTTAGTATATAGAAAAAAATAGCCGCAAGGGTTATTCTTAGTACTAAAGATTTGTGGTACATTTGAACTACTTAATATAAATAAAGTGTCGTTACTTCTTATTCAACAATTAAACTAATGCTGTTTTTTCATTAAAGTGGTACTTTTAGATCATTAAAGACAATCCATCTTAAATTCGTCTTCAATATATTTTTATTCAGTTATTTATGTGTTGACAAAATACAAGACATAACCTAACATTCAGTCACTGACCTTTTCCTTTGCCCTTCCTGCATGTTTTTGAACAGATTTGGCCAGAAGACTGCCTCGACTTTCAGCCATAACTTTGAATTTATTAATTTAAACACTGTTCGATGTTGTCACAATGCACACACGATGGTTTTTTGTAAAACAATCCGTGATGTAAGTCCACCTAAGCCCGTATCGCAACACTCTTCACTTCACAAAAGTTACTTTTAGATCCTGACTGGAGCTTGCAAAGCAGCTCTTTTCTCTTTTTTTAGAACACTTGCCTCGTCAGTCGGAATCTGTGCTCGGACTGAGAAAAACGTAGGTAAAACAGGTGGTAGATCATGTGGCCCGAAATGAAAACCTGCCATCCGATCTTTTTTGCAAAGAAATCGTCTTCTATTTTTAAGCGGTTGTCGCTAAATTCACTAGATGGCAGAACCGATTTGAACGAAAGTTAATAGACGTTGCAAATCACAGATTCTTTAAAGTCAAATGGTTCGAATTTTAATAAATAGATGGTACTACTTCCCATTTTAAGTACGTTATACGAGGGTACATTGTACACTGATAATTTAAGTCATTGTCATAGAACATCCGATTTGCAGATTACAGAGTAAAAAATAATTGAAAAAAAATTTAATAATACAAAAAGCAAACAGAACATTAATATCACAAAAAATAATACTTTATAATTTTAAAACCAATATGTAATACAATAATAAATATATCTTTGAAATATCTAATTTAATAGTTAATTATTAAACCAAAAAATGGAAAAACATTAAACATAGAAAGATATATTTATTTAGTCAATGGTTTGTTTTTGTTTTTAATCATTAAAAGCAAATATAAATAATATTAATAATACAGAATAGAGTAGCATGAAAATATAATTTAGGTTCCACTCATTTTCATGATTTCACCCCATTCCTTCTCAGTTACTGGTGATACTGACAAACGAGATTGTTTCACTAATGGCATATTTTGTAAGAGAGGATTTTCTTTGATGTCTCCTAAAGTTACTTTGTTATTTAAAGGCATGATAAATTTAACATCCATCATTCCGAACTTAGGATCGTCTCCATAGTAGTATTCTTTGCATATTTCTACTATTCCTTGGATCGATTTCTCTGAAACTATTAGAAAAATGCATATGAGATAAATATACAGAGTGGAACGTTTAACTGGAACCATTTCTATAAAGGTTCGTCGCAAAATTCCTGAAACATGTCAATTTTTATTTTTAATGGGGCTTATTACAAAGGTTTACTTTTTTGATTAACCTTCAACTTCCTTTTATTAAATGCAAAGGGTAGTTTGATAAAATATGGAACCGTTTACTGAAACTACTTAATGTATTTAATTAGACAAGTAACGCCAGAAATGTTATAAAAATATTCAGAATGCTTTTGATTATTAGGCATTCCAAACAAATGAATTGCCAGTGGGAAGGTTTGGTATATCTAAGGGTGGCGACATACGGTGTATTCTATCTACTTTACGTAAAATCATGAATTATGGATTACATTTAAATATTTTATGTCAAACACAATAAAAATAATATTTCAAAAACTCACCATTACATTTCTTCATAAATTGGCAGGTTTGGCCACTACTACTTCGAATAAAAATAGCGTCCAAGTTGCAAGACTATGTCGCTACCCCCTTAGATATACAAGAATTTCCCACTGGCACATTGTTTGACAGGTCGTTGGAATGCCTAATTGATTAGATGGTATTAAAGTAGTTTCAGTAAACATTGCCTTATTTTGTTTTGTCTAACACATTGCTTTATAAAAAGTAACAAAAAATAATAGTATTTGCAATTGAAAAGACTTTAAAACAAAAAAATAATCAATCTACCCTTGCCCTTCCACTAAACAAAAGTTGGGGCTGAAACCCCCCAGAGATAATTAAATAAACAACAAGCTATGCACAAATATGCACTTTACTGAAAATAAAAGTTGATGTTTCAGGAATTTAGCGACAAAAGTTTATTCATATTTAAGTTACAGAATTTGTTTCAAGAAAAATTTCCGCTCAGTAGTAGGTATATGAAAGTAGGCGAGAAAGTAGGGATAAAAAAAAGAATATTTTTGATTAAAAAATGTTTCTAAAAATATTGTCAACTGCTCTTTTATAACAATGAATTATTAAAACACGTTAAAATTTGCTTACCTGAATGATAAAAAAAGGCTTGATCTCCAATTTTCATGCTTTTCATATATTTCTGTGCTTGATAGTTTTTCACTCCATCCCATGGAGTTATTTCTTCCTTTTCCATTGTTTGCCATGAATATGTATTAGGCTCGGATTTAAGTAACCAATATTGCATTGTTTCTAAATATTTTTACTACAGTCTACCTGTCTGAGTCAAGATTCAACGGATATTTTTTATAATAACTGTATACAGTTTGGAGGTTGACGGTTAAGTTGAGGTTATGTTAACACAATTTTAAAATAAATCTATGGCGCGAAATTGCTGTCAATCACAAAAGGTGAGTTCGGGATGCGCACTCCAGAAGGCAAGTTCGGATAGACAGGGGCTGGAGCGGGACAAATTTTAGGGTGCTTTTAAATGACATTTAAGCGTGTTAAACTGTCACTAATCGGACTAAACCGAACGCTAAAAGGGTCGTTTGGAGTTAAAAGTGTTAAAGGAGTTAAAGGAACTTGGCAGACCGAACGCAATGAGAGTGGAGTGGAGTAAGTAGGCCACAAGTAGGCGTAAACGGAGTGCGCATATGGTTTTACTCCTTTTACTCTCAGAGTTCAATGTCAGTTGTCGATGTGACATACTAATATCACAGCCAAAGAAGTAGAGAGGGTAGAACGATAAGGTACCGTCTGCGCATCCATCACGAGTGTAGAAATTATGCGTGATTCAGCCTTCCACTCTTACACACGTAAATGATAAGGAGAGGTTGCCCTAAAGCACTGTAAACAAATTCCAGGATCGACTTTATTCAGCGATTATGTGCATGTTCAGCTCTGTTTTTTGTTTGTGTTTTGGCTGTTGTAAGCTTTTTTGGCGTCAATTCTTTGTTATCTTGCTTATATTTATGATTTTTTATGCTTTTATTCCGATTTAGTATTAAATTATACTTGTTAATTATTTTTCGATGCACTATTTTATAATTGTTGCACAAAATGTTGTTAAACCGTCTCTGAATTTTGTTTACAAAATGTGCAAAACGAAATTGTGCATAGTGTCCAGACTTTTTCATTGACAGTTATCATTCTACCCCTCTCCACTTCATTGATCACAGCTTATCAATGAACTGGAGTGGGGTAGAAAGCTAATGTGCATATTTTATCAATTGAACAAGATGCGACTCTATGGGCGCAGCCATTTTTATTTCTCATCTCACTCGGGAGTATTTATAATAACCATTTTCTGTTTCACATTGTTATTGTTCAATCCACAGGCTGGTGGATCAGACACATACTTATAATAGGTATACGGAGCAAGAGAGACGTCCGACCTGTTTAACAAAGGGGCGGCCATTTTTATACAAGATTACTAGTACATAGGTGACCAAAAATACAGCAATTTGAAAACTTGGTTGCAGATGTCTAGGTCTTTTCACTTTTAAATACATCATTTTGTACAGATTTTTTAAAAGAAATAATACAATATTATATCTGAATTAAATTTTTATTCTACAACAAAAAAAAAATATTTTAATGTTTAAAAATACATGTTAGGCTGATAAATAATAGGCCGACAAATAATAGATTAAATACTAATTTTAAATGACAAAAGTACAGTAGAGGAAGTTACAAATATTAAAATTTCCAGGATACTTTAAAATTAAATTGATGGTTGCATATTTGTTTTATTTTAAACAATTTACTTTCTTCTTGTATAATTTCTAAAAGCTACAAATTTTTAGTTTATTGATTCTGCAGTGAATTGTACTAACTTAAAAGAAATTTTGTCCAATCACTACCTATATGGCAGATAACCACAATAAGGAACGATCTGCTTGTTTTGGAACCCTAAAATAATATAAAGGCACTTCTTTCATATCCTTTATTTTTGCTAAATCTTATTACTTACTTGTGGAATGTAACATTTGAATCCATTGGCAACAGTCTATTGGCCCAGTATAGAGAACTTATACTGGGATTAAAGTCTATTCACAAATGGTAAAATAAATAAAACGTTTATACACTTAGAAAATAATATCCACAATGAAAATATTCTAAAAGAACACAAAAAAATTTAACCAAATTCACAAACACATTAAAATTTGACACTTTTGACAGATGGAAAGATAAATTGGTTGCATAAGTTTCAGTTTGTTTATATAAAAATGGCGGTCATTTCTATCTTCTTTTATTAAACACTCAGTAAAGATGCGCAGAGGGTTTTACGCCGTATACCTATTTAAGTATGTGGGATCAGGCAATAACAAAGTGAAATAGAAAATGGTCGTTATAAATACTCCCGAGTGAGATGAAAAATAACCTGTCTTCGCCCACAGAGTCGCATCTCAAGCCTATTGACAAGCATTCTACTCCACTCCAGTTCATTCATTGCGTTCGGTTTGCCCAGTTCCTTTAACTCCTTTAACACTTTTAACTCCAAACGACTCTTTTAGCGTTCGGTTTAGTCCGATTAGTGACAGTTTAACACGCTTAAATGTCATTTAAAAGCACCCTAAAATTTGTCCCGCTCCAGCCCCTGACTATCCGAACTCGCCTATTGCAGCTTATACAATTGCTGCGTTTGAGAATCCACATCGGATGCATTTTTTACATCTCGAGCGTTTTTTTATCCACATCGGACACATCTGTCCCATTACATTTACGTATACTGAATCACGTGATCAAAGATTTTTTACATCTCAGATGCATCCGATGTGGATTTTCAAACGCAGCAAATACAGCTCCACAACTCCGTGTCGGCGTTTTTGATCTGGCGGTCGAGAACCAAGCAAGACGGAATTGTGCTATCTCTGTTAGATTCGAGGGAAAAGTCGGGCCCGGATTAAACAATTTTTTTATTATTGAAAAAATTGAAAACCTTGGCGTAATAAGGTTGGTTACATGCCATATTAAGTAAGTTTTGGGAAATTAAATGTTTAATTTGTTTTAAATCTGTCAAATATAATTAAAAAAATTATTTAAATATAAATATTACGAAAAATAGCACATCTTTCGGATTAGAGGTAAAATAATTTGTATGTGGCTAGTAAAATCCTCGTTAACAAATGTTTTGAGCTAAAACAGTCACTTCACGACAAATTGTGGCCTGGATCCTTTTTACACCAAGGGCTTCAATTGTTAAAGAATTGTGTCACGCTCGTGGATGCAAATCAAGTGGTACCCTCAGATAAATAAATAATAATAGATAACTGAATGTCAAAAATTTACATTGCGTTTGTTTGAAAGCAACATATACAAGCCAGTTGTTAGGAGGGGAAGAGCGGGGGGTTTGTTAGTTTTATTATCCAGTAGCGTATCAAATAAATGTCAATAGAAATGCTTTTGATTTATATTATTTTATTAGTTTTGAGATATTTCAATGGATCAATGTTTCTAATATGAGATGTTTATAGACAACCGTCAAAAATGAATTTTTCAGTCGACCAATACATATATTTTTTAAATTAAAAACATACATTATTTTTATACACAAATAATTTGAATAAACGTTGCAATGATAGGTTTTATAAATTCTAAATTTTTGTACTAATATTTTTTAATAATATCGATTCTTTTGTAAATTACTTTTATTGATTTGTTATGAGTACCGCTTATATATGTAATAAAAAATAGAATAAAGTATCTGTTTATTGTTAGTCCCTTTTAAGTTAATTAAATTTTTTGTACAAAATATTTATGGTTTTTAATAATTGGGAAAGTAGGGTTAAAAAAACAATTTTTATAATAGGTATGTAATTCATTTTATTAAATACCTAGTTGGGTTAGATCTGGAAAACAAAACAAATGTAATAATAACAGTTTAGAATAAAGCGATACTTATGTAATAAATGATAAGTTCATAATTACCGTTTTAAAATATTGCCAAGGTTTTCTAATACACAATATTTTGAATAATAAAACTTAATTTCGATGAATTCTTGTCAGTTAGAAATAGAATTAACAACGTTAAGCAATTTTTTAGAGACGTTGTGTTATTGTACTCATTTGGTTTAATAACAATTAATAATGGATAATGGGGTGATTATAATAATAATAATTTAGTTGCCAACAATTTTCTTTTCACATAATTTATAAATCAAATAATTATGTGACAGGTATCTAGATAACTAAAACTAATATTCCTTAACTACAGATAAATAAAACCCAACAATTTTCCTACCACACAATTTACAAATTAAATTAATTATGAGACGTGATAATAAGAAAATATAATATACATTCACTTGAGATGTTGTTGGGAATGGGGTGTTAATACACTGCGATCTAAAAGATCTATTGTGCCCCTTCTGTCGCTAATGCACCAAGGAAATATCTCAATGCCTATAATGACCCTTCCAATCTTATCTTCCCAAGGAAGTGTAGGATTTGGAGTGGCTTCGTGTTAAGTAAATCTCTCTCTTTTCTATTTGATATCCTCCTACTGGGTATAGTGCCCTTGGATTCTGGAGTACTACACATTCAGTTAGAATGTAAATGGAGGTTTCGTCCTCCTCCTCACAGAATCTGCACTCACTATCCTCTACTACTATCAGTTTACTAAGGTGTCCTTTAAGTCGATAATGCCCGGTAAGGATCCCTGTTACAATACGAAGCCTGTTCTTGCTCAGACAGATGCAGGCTGTGATGTATGCCTTATTTATACACTACTCAATAAAACAACACCTCTAGTATTCTGATAAACACAGTAATTCAGTAATGGTTATAATACTAGACAAAACTCAAGATGAAATACGAACTTGTAATACGAGACAATGCGCATCTGACTCTTATTTAGTACTCGGGGCGGCATCTACGTACGATCTATAATCCTACGGGGTCACAGACTACAGATGACTGTGATATAAGGAGAAACACTTATATGAAGCTGAAACATAGATGGCGTCACGGGTACTAACATTACCATTTATAAATGGGTATACAGATCTCACACAGGCTTCCGATGTTTCCTGCCATGGTTTTCTGGTTATATTCACCCATAAGTATCTTAGCGTGTCGCACCCTCAAGAGATTGATCCAATTATCGCTTCTTATACTGCCCAATTATTTTTTAATCTCGTCCTGGACGTTTGAACGAGAAAAGTAAGTAAATGTGACCATCGCCTTTCAAGGGGATGCTTTAGATGTTCTTCAGACTGTACCTGTGGAAAAAACGAATGACTTTGAAAGACTTAAAGGATCGTAAGCAGAATCGAGACAAGTCTCCAAGAATACGAATTAGATATTTCCAGGATGATGCGATACTGGC